CAACGCCACGGGGTCCCGAGCGGCGCTACTGAAGCCACAGACGCCGCCGGCCCGAAAGGGGCTGCTCCCTGCGCGCCTGCTGTGGGCCCTGCCGCCGTGGAGGCGCAGATGCCACACTGCTGGGCCACTTCGTCCCCTTCCCGATTGGCCATACCTTTTTTTTTTCCTTTAAAAAACTGCTTGAAGAATCTTTTCAGTCTCTCTCATTGCTTGATTTCCTTCCTTCCTTTCCCTCCCTCCCTCCCCGCTTCCTTCCTTCATCCCTTCCTTCCTCCCTCCCTTCCTCCTTCCCTCCCTTCCTGCCTTCCTCCCTTCCTCCTTCCCTCCCTTCCTGCCTTCCTCCCTTCCTCCCCCCCAAAAGAAAAAAGAATCTTTTCATTCAGATTTCTCGAGAGAGAGAGAGAGAGAGAGAGAGAGAGAGAGAGAGAGAGAGAGAGAGAGAGTGTCCGTGCATGTGTGTCTGTGTGTATATGTGTATGTATGTTATGGGTGTCTGTACATATGTGTATATGTGTCTGTGTATGTGCGCGCGCGCGCGCGTGTGTAGTATTTCTTTAGATCTCTATTTTCCCTGGACCTTGTTGTTTTTTCCTGCGGGGGCGGGGAGGCAAACCGTCTTTTTGATAGCTGTTAACATCCAGAATTAATCTATGCAGACAAAGCCTGGGGAGGTCAGCCTCATTATTACCCAGCTCTGCTGTCAAGGATGTGGGACCTAACTACTCTGTGCCTCAATTGTCTCATCTGACAAGTAGGGATAACAAGGGCTGCTTCTGTACAGGATTGATATAAAAGTTAAATGAAGCACTTTATAGAAAATGCATAGCCTAGTGTCTGGCACACAGAGAGTATGAACTGCTGTCTCTCTTGATGTCTTCATCACAAATGGGTGAATGCAGTCTAGGTTCAGTAAACGCCTTCCTTCATCTCAGCCATCACCTCCTTCAGGAAGCCCTACCTGATTTCTCCCTATCACTTCTGCCCAGTCCGGATCAGTTGTCCTTCCTGTATTCTCTTAGAGCACTGATCGCATTGCACTCACTGGAGCTGTGTGCATGCATATCAGTTTTCTGCACCGAAGTGGGAGCTGCAATAAGGAGTGTGTTTTATCCAACCACAGAAGGTGTGAAACTTAGGGACCAGCAAGCGTATGCTGAGTGAATAATGGAAGCTTCCATTTATGTCGTCAGTGGTGAAAGACTTAAAGCCTGAACCTGGAGGCGGAACCGTGGAGCTATCTCAGTGGTAGCACTGTAGATTCTGCTTTTCCCCTTACCAGAAACAGTTCCAAAGTCACTGAGTCACAGAAAGTGAAAGACAGAGATTGGAAGTTCAGTTTTGTTATTTTCAGGTCAGGAAGTGGAAGCCTCCAGAGGCCCAGGGGTTTATGGAGGCCTCATGCCATGCAGGAGCACCATGCAAAGCAGTGCTCCCATATTGACCTGTTGAGCTGTCACTCACTTGTTGCTGTACAACCCAGGGCCTACAAATGCACAGGGATGGCCTTCTCCCAGACTGTCACCTGAGGGAGGCTGGGTGGTAGCAGAGATTCATGTAAGGCACAGTGAAGGTGGCAGGCCAGCCTTTCCTGGAAGTAGGGGTGGGGGATGAGGTTGGGAAGGAGGCCTGGCTCCAGTCCTGGATCTGCAGCCTATCACTGTGCAAGCCTGAGTGACTCATAGATGCCCAGAGCATGAGAATGGGATGGGGCCCCAGAGATGATCCATCCCGACCTCTTTGGTTTATGGGAAGGGAGACCAAGGCCCAGATAAGTGACCTGCCCTTCCCTGAACTACAGACTTAATCAAAAGCACAGCTGGTAAATGCATCCATGTCTTTTGAATCTGAAACCTAGTTTCCTCAATGAATGGATTCCAGTGTTTCCCAGATATCAACGGGCATATGAATCACTTGAGGACCTTGTTATAACACAGGTAGGACTGGGGTGAGACCCCAGATTCTCATTCCTAATTAGCTCCTAGGTGCTAGCTAGAATGGCTCTAGGTAGGTGGTTCTTAGAAAAACCACTGGTGTAGACTGCACTATGATGAAATTACTGGGTGTACTAACCACGAATTAGTGTAGCCTTATCAGGTGAATGAGGACATCGGCGGCTGGGACACTCACTGAGACGCTGATAGAGCCAGTGTCCTTCTCCATCAGCATTAGTCATCTGTTGCCCTGTTGGCTGCTTCTGGATCTATGGTGAAGACGCAGGTTCTGGCTGGTGGCTGTAGGTTCCTTGATTGCACCCTAGTTAGAGGGCTGTGACTTACTCAAGGCATCAGAATCACCTGAGAACTTACTAAAAATGCAAATTGCCAGGCCTCAGCCCAGAACTAGTGAATCAGAAACTCAGGGTGAGGCCTAGAAATCTTTATTTTAACAAGCCTTACAGGTGATTCTGATGCACACACTGAAGTTTCAGAACTATTGGCCTAGGAAATAAACAAGAATTGAGATAAGAATTTAAATTTTATTGTTTCCTTGGACTTTGGACAGGGGTAGAGGGGTGGAAAGTTTTGTATTTAAAGCCAGAGCAGTTTTTCAAAGCCACTTTGATTTGGAGGTTGCTTATTTGACCTGTTTTGTGGAAACTTGCATGAAGTGTTCTCACTAAGTCTAAGACTCATGATATCCTCACTGCAGGTGAAAACTGATTCACTGCTTATAACTAACCGTGAAGATCACAACTTAATTTAGAGTAGGAGAAATATCCTGGTAATTATCCTTAAGACCTATGGGGGAGAAAATTGATCATTTTTTTGTTTTATTTTTTGAGACAGGGTCTGGTTATGTTGTCCAGGCTGGAGTGCAGTGGCATGATCATAGCATAGCTCACAGCAGCCTCAAACTCCTGGGTTCCAATGATCCTCCCACCTCAGCTTCTGGACTGATGACTCTACAGGCATGTGCCACCATGCCCAAGGACTTTTAAATTTTTTTGCAGCGATAGGATCTTGCTGTGTTGCCCAGGCTGGTCTCAGACTCCTGACCTCAAGTGATCTTAGTGTCTTGGCCTCCCGTGTTGAGATGACAGGCGTGAGCCACTGTGTCCAGCTGAAAATTGATCCTTAAATAGTTAAAAAAAAATTCCTTGGCGCTCCCTCCTCTTTTTCCTTCAAAGACTTCAAATTCTTTCTAAACATTAGCGTTTATCATTCAGGACAGGAAAATGTCTTCTTTAATTTTCTGTGGTGACATGTCATTGCATTAAAGATGGTCTGAATAACCTTTATGCAGCCCAGCTGGTGCCTGCCCTTCTGTCATGAGACAGGAAATCTGTTTTGACCGACATGGTCATTGCTTAGGTTTGGCCATGTTCTGTGCTGCCCAAAACCTCCATCGCACTTGGCCAAGCTCTCGGAGCCCTGTCAGTGTGCACATTCTGCATGTGTGATTTATGATATGGCAGATCTGAAGACTGGAGCCTGTTTCTCTGGACAGTGTCACTCTGCCTTGAAAGTGGAGGTGGTAAGAGCTCATGTGAACAGAAACCTGCTTACAGCTTGACCAAACCCAGCATCAGGCTACCATAATGTACTGCTGTCTGATATCCCCAAAACAACAAGCTCTTGTAAAATTAGTATAAAAATTAATTACTTTTGATTGGATTTCAACTGAAGGACGTGGTAAAAGATATAAACAGAAAAAGATCAAATTAAGGGTGAAATCCAAAATCTGTGACTTTACACATTTATGTCTTTTTTTTCTTTTTTTGATATGAAGTGCAACGGTGCAACCTCAGCTCACTGAAAACTCTGCCTCCCAGGTTCAAGCAATTTTTCTACCTCAGCCTCTCCAGTAGCTGGGATTACAGGCATGCACAATCACACCCGGCAAATTTTGTATTTTTAGTAGAGATAGGATTTCTCCATGTTGGCCAGGTTGGTCTCGAACTCCTGGACCTCAGGTGATCCGGGCGTGAACCACCGTGAACAGCCTACACATTTATCTTGTTGCTCTTTTGGGTTCCCAAACGCCACAGAGTTCCAGAGGAGATAGGAAGAGTCATGGTGTCATTTCCCAGACTGGTAAATAGTGACCATGAGAGGGTAGCTATTGATTCATTGTGATGTCCAAGTTGAGACTGCTCCCTCTGCTGGACAGCTTTGTACAAGTACTGTCCAATACTGGCCCTGCATGCACTCCTATATTCAGAGATGTAGGTGACAGGGGCTAGGACTGTAAAGATGACAGTCCCCACTCTGTTAAAATATGATATATCCCTCTAAGCAGGGGACCCCAACCCCCTCACCTGCATATCCAAGTCCCCATGAAAGCAAGAGGAACAGAGAGATGGAGGTGCCTGTGGGACCTTTTGATAATGCCCCAAAGTCTCCACTCTCGTACATCATCAGTCTGCTGCCTCTGGCAGAAAAGAAATCCTTCAACAAGTCCAAGAACATAAAGCATGTTATCATTCGGCTTGTGATCCACCAAGCCATGCACTAACACATCAGAGTCTGAACTCAGCACTTTGGTCTGTGTTCCGACTTCCAACCAATGATCTGAAAGAAACGTGGAAGGCTCATTCCCCATCAAATTTTTTTTTTGAGACACAGTCTTGCTCCGTCATACAGGCTAGAGTGCAATGACGCAACCTCGGCTCACTGCAACCTCCGCCTCCCGGGTTCAAGCAATTCTCCTGCCTCAGCTTCCCAAGTAGCTGGGATTACAGATGCCCATCACCACGCCTGGCATGCTCCCCCAATTTTTTTTTATTTTATTTTTAGTAGGGACGGGATTTTGCCATGTTGGCCAGGCTGGTCTTGAACTCCTGATCTCAGGTGATTCACCTACCTCAATCTCCCAAAGTGCTGGGATTACAGGTGTGAGCCACTGGATCTGCCCCCAGTTAACATCTTTTAATAGTGCAGAGTTAACCTGACAATTATGATTATAAGCTTATAAAGTCCCTGGAGTCAGATATTCAAGGACAGGAAAAATAAAAAACCAAAAAATAAAATAAAAATAAAGTCCCAGCCAGTGGTCTCTACCTTGGTCATCGTGATGAGTTTCTCTGAGGGATCTTCCTGCTTCTTCCTGATAGTCCAGTGCCTCTCTACTTTCCTGCTGGGTTAACACACAACAAAAAATACATTAGACAAAATAAACGCAAACACTTTAAACGCGTCTGTAGTCGATGCCCTTTGGTAAAAGGGAATCCACTTTTCTTAGTGGTTTCTTCTTCTTCATCAACTTGTTTTTACGTAAGTCTCCAGGAAGGCTGCTACTAATGTTAAACAGGAGTAAAGAGCCAGGCAGGGCTGGACATGGTGATAGGCACCTGTAGTCTTAGCTACTTAGGAGGCTGAGACGGGAGAATCACTTGAAGCAGGAATTCCCAGGAGTTTGAGTCCAGCCTGGATAGCAAGACCCTGGACCCTGCCTCTTAAAAAAAGAAGAAGAAGAAGAAAAAAAATCCAGGGCCAGGCAGGCACCAGCAGCGTTGAGTGCTGTGACCTTCCTGGTTCTACTTATTTTCATGAGGTCTTGTATCATTCACCTGTGCAGTGCTCGATGCCTGGCATTTGCAGGAGTTTATTAGGGGAGGGAGAAGAAGGTCCTGACAGAGGTAATCTGGCAGAAGGAAGCAGGGTACCTCCAGGACCTGAGGGAAGACTGGTGTGACTAGAGCAGAGACTGAGAGAACTGCGCAGGGTTGGGAGGAGTTAGACCCCTATGGCCTTGCAGGCAGGTTGAGGACTTTGGTCTTTGAGAACAAATGGATAGCATTCAGGATTTAAAGCAGGGGAGCCAAAGGGTCAGACAGGTTTTTGTGGCATTCCCGGGATTAGCATGGATTGGGTTTCTTATCACATTTGATCCCTTCTTCCTTCTTTCCTTGAGTCATACAAGCTGCTTGGAATCCCTCCTCCCAGCAATCTCCATAACTGTGGTTATCAACCCTGGCTGCACATCAGAATTATTTGAGAAGTTTTAGAAAATATGATTCCCAGGATCTAACTCCAAATAATAACAGTCAGACTCTCTGGAGTTGGGGCATTTTAAGGCTTCTAGGTTGAGTTTGATATGCAGCCAGGACTGAGAATCATGCTCTTCTCTAGAGCATTGGAAGAGCAGCTCTTCAGTGTCAAAGTAACATGGCAGGTGGAGCTGGTGACCCAAGTAACTGTATGTCTGATGAGGCCAGCTCTGGGCCTTTGTCACCTGGATCCCTGCTCAACTCACAGCTTCATCTTGGTGCTAGAGCTGGAATCTGACATGAAGGGTCCTGGAAGTCTCTCCCGGGTTACCCTCATTCTGTAGTGACAGTCACCTTTCTACTTTGTTATCAAAGTCGCAACCTGCTTGAGAAGAGACAACTAATTATCTGCTATTCTGGCACTCTCTTTAACTCCGCTCTGAGTTCCCTCACGCGGTGGCTTTCTACCTTGTGCGTTCGTTTCTCACTTGTTAGCTTAGTATTTGTAGCTGATGATATATACTGACATAAAAAAGCTAACACAAGTAAATAATTTCCCTACTTTTGGGTTTCTTATTTTGGAGACAGAGCCAATTTTGGCTGGTACAGTTAAAAAAATCCCTGAATAAATGGAAAGGAGTAAGAGGCTAAGTTAGAAGCACAGGAAAGAGAAACTTAAAAAACAGGATCACTGGTTACAAAGCCTTTGAATCTAACAAGAAACCATATTGAGAGGGAGAGCCAAGTTTCCTCTTTTGGAAGAATTTTAATACCAAGAAGGATAAACTTTCAGTCTCAATGACGTGCAGCCATGAGCTTTCAGGGGCAAGGAATATTTTCTCATTTCATAGAGTGGGAGAGGGAGACAGAGAAACTCAGGGATTTGGAAAAATATTTTCAGGTGAGTCCTTGTTAGAAAAAAATAGTCTTAATATGAAACTCTGTCCATTCAATTGTATGTTGCATAGGAAAGTGTCAAAGAGCTATCATTTTTTAGTTATAAGAATACGCATGTGGCCGGGTGCAGTGGCTCACGCCTGTAATCCCAGCACTTTTGGAGTCTGAGGTGGGCGGATCATGAGGTCAAGAGATTGAGACCATCTTGGCCAACATGGTGAAACCCCGTCTCTAAAAAAAAAAAAAAAAAAAAAAAATACTCTGAGCAATGTGTATAATATGCTAAAACTTGCATATACTATCTATCCATGTATGCATCTATATGTGTTTGCTTATATATGCATCATACATCCCAGGAAGGGGGACACAGGAAACTAACAAACAGCGGTTGTTTGAGGGAAAGGAACAGAGCAGCTGGAAGGCACACTGTTTTGTACTTAAATTTGAAAAAAAAAACCTCTTTTGAATATATTTCAGATTCAAAATTTGAATTAAAGAAACTAAGCCGGCTGGGCATGGTGGCTCAAGCCTGTAATCCCAGCACTTTGGGAGGCCGAGGTGGGTGGATCACCTGAGGTCAGGAGTTTGAGACCAGCCTGCCCAACATGGTGAAACCCCGCCTCTACTAAAAAAAAAAAAAATACAAAAATTAACTGGGCATGGTGGTAGGCACCTGTAATCCTAGCTACTTAGGATGCTGAGGCAGGAGAATCGCTTGAACCCAGGAGGTGGAGGTTGCAGTGGGCTGAGATTGTGCCACTACACTCCAGCCTAGACAACAGAGTGAAACTCTGTCTCAAAAAAAAAAAAAAAAAAAAGAAAGAAACTAAATCTAAATAAAATGCTATGTCACTTTTAGTCTGAGTTACAAATGCCATGATTAAAACTGAGTGATGGAAACAGAGGTAATAATTCTTGGTGAGTGAGCAAAACAAATGGAGAGACTGCAAATTCAAATCCCAGTTCTGTTATTCCAGCCAGTGCTTTTCCTCTGTTCATTCAGCTAATGAACATTTATTGAGTGTCTGCTGTGTGCCAGGTACTGAGATAGGCACTGGGGGCACAAAGATGAAAGATGTAGTTGTAGGACGCTCACAGACTTGTGGGGAAATGACAAGTCAGTTCGCAATGCAGCGTGATAAATGTTGTGGCAGATTATGACAGGTTTCTGCAGGGCCTCATGGGAGGTGAAGCTAAATTAGGCTGGGAAGGTTGTTTACCAGCAGACACAGTGCTAAATCTTGCAGTGAAGGGAAGGTAGAACAATTCCAGGCAGAGGAAGCAGCATGTGCTGGTTAGGGGATAGTTTGGTGCGGGGGCAGTGTGTGGACACTGTAAATTAGACACAGGCCAGATCTTGCATGTTACAGTTTAGAGTTTAAGAAAAATTGCACGTTATATATTTTTCTATTTGTAAAATAAATACATTGTTCATGCTGGGAATTTAACCAGAGGGCCAACGGGGACACAGTCAAGAATTTATAGCAAACCAGTGATAAGACTGAGCTGTATTTAGAAAGAGCAGTGGCAGTAGTGTGGTATTATAAGACCGGGGGAGGAGGAAGAGTCACAAACACTTCGTGAACACAAACTTCAGCATTGAAACCAACATGTGAGAGGCAGTTTCTCCAGTGGCTGAGTTATAGGTCCTACAGTCAGGCTGTCTGCACTAAAGTCCTAACTCCTACTCTTGCTGTCTACAGACCATGGGAGTTACTTAACCCCTGAGCCTCAGTTTCTTCAACTGGAAACAGACAGATGGTGGACAAACGATCTTGGGTTATCTGTCCTTGGAAAACCTTCCAGCCATCCTGCCCTCCACTCTCATACACAGCACCCTGTCTGGGCACATTACTTTTAGTACCACAGCAGGCTTTCTTGGGGAGCTGCTGGGATGGAGGAGCATGGGATGCAGGAGTCTGAGGTGTGGCCTCCAGCCTGCCTTGAGCTATCTGCATGGCTTATCATTGAACCTCAGCTTCTACACCTGTGAAATGGGAGTAATAATAAATAATCGTACAGAGTTCTCAAAAGGCCTAACCAGAAAAATACAATTGGAAATTCCATGTAACATACCATGTGATATAGGAATATAAATGACTAATTTCAGTACTTTCTTAATGATGGCATTTTTCTTTTGGAGCTAGAATAAACTCATAAATATTTTTTCCTGGCAATATTAGTCAAGTGTCCTGGAACCACTAAATCTTGAGACCACCTTGTGATTCCTCTACAACTTTCCTGCCAGGTGGTCATCAAGGCACATTTAAATGCTTCTGGAGACCAGAACTTATCTCCTAAGGCATGGTGCTCCATCTTTAGACAATGCCCTAAGCCACGTATTATTTCCCTGTTGTATGTGAAATCCACAGATTCAGGGGCAGCCCCCCTCTGCTTGGTGGGATGCATGTAAACCTGGCCACATAAGTAAAGCTTGGGACTGGCCTCAAAACAAGTGGGGCAGCTATAACTGTAGGCATAGCTGGCTCTTGTCCGTCCAGGCCAATTCCTCTACTTTGCATTTGAGGGCACTATGTGCTAACTGTGTGGAAACTGCGAGGTGGAAGCTTATTTCTCATTCTTCAGATGTTCTGGGCATAACATACACACCCTTTGATATCAACGTGGAGTATAAGGATATTCAATTCGGTATCTAACATTATTGCTATTTTCTTCCCTACTACCATGACCTATCCCTGATAACTTAAAAAGTCCCTGAAAAAAAACCCTCTATCCTTATTCATTCATCAATTACCATTTCTTTTTGAAAAACAAAATCGAGTTTTTAAAAACATGGTTCAAAAAATGTTTTTTCTTCTTTTTTGGTTTAGAAAACAGGCTGGTCTCGGCCAGGCACAGTGGCTCAAACTTGTAATCCCAGCACTTTGGGAGATTGCAGTGGGTGGATCACCTGAGGTCAGGAGTTCAAGACCAGCCTGGCCAACATGGTGAAACCCCGTCTCTACTAAAAATACAAAAAATTAACTGGGAGTGGTGGTGGGCACTTGAAATCCCAGCTACTGAGGAGGCTGTGGCAGGAGAATCTCTTGAGACTGGAAGGCGAAGGTTGCAGTGTGCTGAGATTGTGCCACTGCACTCCAGCCTGGGCAACAAGGGTGAAACTCTGTCTCTCTCTCTCTTTTTTTTTAAAGAGGCGGAGTCCATGTTCTCACTCATAGGTGGGTGTTGAACAATGAGAACACATGGACACAGGGAGGGGAGCACTACCCACTGGGGTCTGTTGGGGGGAATAGGGGAGGGACAGTGGGGGGTGGGGAGTTGGGGAGAGATAGCATGGGGAGAAATGCCAGATACAGGTGAAGGGGAGGAAGGCAGCAAATCATGCTGCCACGTGTGTACCTATGCAACTATCTTGCATGTTCCTCACATGTACCCCAAAACCTAAAATGCAATTAAAAAAAAAAGGAATAATAATAAAAAAAAGAGGCGGAGTCTCGCTCTGTTGCCAGGCTGGAGTGCAGTGGTGTGATCTCAGCTCACTGCTACCTCCATCTTCTGGGTTTGAGTGATTCTCTTGCCTCAGCCTCCCCAGTAGCTGGGACTACAGGCGTGTGCTACCACGCCCAGCTAATTTTTGTACTTTTAGTAGAGATGGGGTTTCACCACGTTGGCCAGGCCTGTCTGGATCTCTTGACCTTGTGATCTGCCCACCTCAGCCTCCCAAAGTGCTGAGATTACAGGCATGAGCCACTGCACCTGACCAAAACTCAGTCTCAAGAAAAAAAACAAACAAACAGAAAAAAGAAAAGAAAAGAAAAGAGCCTGGTCTCAAACTCCTCAGCTCAAGGGATCCAAGCAGCTGGGATCCTAGATATGTGCCACCGTGTCCGGCATGGTTTGATTTTTAAATGAACCCAAATGTACTCTGGATCAATCATATATCCCCAAATCTAAGCCTGATATAAACACATTATTCTATATAATCGGCTAATGGCCTTCAGTGTTGTAAAGAGATTCTTAAAATGTGAGAATTTCACATGCAATAAATGGGAAATGAAGGAATGCTCTCCTATAGTAACATGAGCCTGCTTCTGCCACAACACTGTGCTGATATTTCCTGGTTCCTTGTTTATCTTCCCATTAGACTCTAGGCTCCTTGGAAGGTCCAGGATATAGATAACTCATCTTGTATGCTCAGTGCCTATCATAGTGTCTGATACACAGAGCGTGTTCAATATATGTTGGCTGAGGGGAACCGAATGATCAGTGGGAGAGAAAGTTTCCTATTGTCTCCACAGAACTTGGGTAGGACTAGAGGGAAGGTCAAAGTCCTGTGGGGTCAGAAAATCTTCCTGGAGCAGATGAAATTTGTCCACAGGAATGGAATTTTCTAGAAGGAGTGCTGGATGCTTAGCTAACATGATAAGCAGTGTTTTTGATTGGACAGGGCTCAGCTGAGGGCTGCAGTGAAGCTTTATAACAGATGGTTGAGCACAGGCACTGGAACTGGGCTGCCTGACCAAATCTTGCTTCTGCAATTTACCAACTGTGTGACATTTGGGAATTTACTTAGCCTCTCAATGCCTTAGTTTTCTCATCTGTAAAATGGAGTAATTCTATTTATTTGTGAATTAAATAAATGCATGTATATACAATTTAGGACAAAGCCATCCACAGAATATGTACTCAGTAATGTTAGCAACTGTGATTATTTTTTATCTTTCCATTCCTTTGTTCTGCCTTGACCTTTCTTGTCACCTACTATCATCCCCTGCAACCTGCGATGCTCCCTACATGCCCCAGGCAAAATGAATGACATGCATGTGGATAGGCAGGAGATACATGAATGACTGTATAGAATGAGATGGTTTCTGCACAGCTCAAGGTGTGGAGGGCAGCCTGTGTGCTGACTGTATAGAATGAGCTGGTTTCTACCCAGCTCCAGATGTGGAGGGCAGCCTGTATATGCTGACTGTATAGAAAGAGGTGGTTTCTACATAGCTCCAGGTGTGGAGGACAGCCTATGTGTTGACTGTATAGAACGAGGTGGTTTCTACATGGCTCCAGGTGTGGAGGGCAGTCTGTGTGCTCTTCTCTGTTTGAACTCACCATCTTTGTCTGTACTACCCTGAGACTGTGTCTTACTATACGGCAATCCCTAAGAACCTGGGAGCTACCATATCTGTAAGAAGGTCTAATTAGGGAGAGCTGTGAACACTGAGCATTTCTAGGAAAAGCCATGGTCTTTTTGGTAAATACTGGCCTGGGAGTCAGAAAGTGTACTGAGAGTGTACTTTGTGAGTCCTTTGGAAGCAGACCGAGTTGCCATTTCTGTGAGTCTTGAGGGAGGTGGATGGGAAAGTGGGCCTCAGGGATGACAACTCTTTTCCTTCTATAATACTGTGCCAAAATTACTGGACGAAATAAGTGTAACATGAAAGCATTGTGGATACTAAATATACAAGCAATTATTGTAGAATTCCCTACTTTGAATTCTGCAGTTCTTAGATGCTCCATATTTTCTTATCTCATTTCCTCAGCAGCTATCACCTTGGAACATGCCACACACTCTGCTTGCTTATTACGTCCATTGTCTGTTCCCTGTACTATCCTGGAGCAGGGCAGGGATCTCGATCTGTTTTGTTCATTGATGTATCCCAAATGCCCCAAACTGCCAAACACATAGTAGACAGCAGGTGCTCAAATATTGGTTAAATGAATGGTAACTGTGATATTTCCTCCCAGAAAGTACAATTCATAATTCTTTCAGCCCCAAGAGAATAACTAAACTGTGGCTAAGAACAAAAGGGATAGTTTCACTAATGTAAGCTATGGAGCATGGCAATCGTTTTTGAATACTTGTAGAAAGCATCTTTTCTTCTGCAGTCCAGAATCATTCTCCTTTCCTGTATTTTTTTTTTCCTATGGAGATGGGGTCTCATATGTTGCCCAGGATGGAGTGCAGTGGCTGTTGCAGGTGTAATCATAGCACACTACAACCTTGAACTCCCAGACTCAAGTGATCCTCCCACCTCAATCTCCTGAGTAGCTGCAATTCCTTTTTAGAGTTTTCAGTACTCCATTTTCCTCTTCAGACATGCTTTCTCTTCCCATTCTCAGTCCCTGTGGCTCCAGGGTGGGCCAGTGGCTTTCATTTGGGTATAGATAAGTGACCTGCATTGGTTTACCTTCAGTTCTGGAATGATCTGGGAAACAGAAGATGGTGGCCAGCTTGCCACCCCTGGGGAAGAGCCTATCTAAGAGGAAGCCCTGAAAAGTGGAGCCCATTCAGGGACAGAGACAGATTTTGGGCAAATGCACAACTCTTAATCAAAGCCCCACCTTGTAGAACGGGGATTGGGGCAGCCCAGAGAATTAGGAGGGTGACCCTCATGACCTCCAAAGGTGCTGCCAGTCTATGGCACCAGATAGAGCCATCATCATGCACTAGGCAAGTATTTGGTTTCTTCTGCCCCGTTCCTGTCTTTCTCAGTCATTCTTATCAAGGGCCTGGAATATTTCCTCCAGGGTACTATGAAGGATCTGAGATTCATCCATGCCAGGCCTGGCTCTGTTCCTGGTCAGTTTCTTTGACTCCATGGCTATTTATTTCCAGTTCAGTAAGCTCTGAGGAGGGCAAAGAATAGGTAGGAAAGGGGCCCTAGACCAGAGGGTGTGGGATGAAAAGGATGGGTCAATTCATGGAGCATTTAATGAGCAACTTCCACGCGTCGGGCGATGTGTTCGACACTGGGGTGGGAGGGAGTATGGCAAAGATGGACAAATGCCATCCTCACTATAGAAACCCTCAGTACCCTTAACTTGAAATGAAGTTGAGCTTGAGAGATCAATGAACTCTTAGAGAACAGAAAGCAAGGCCAGATATCCAGAAAGGAATTTGCAGTTGACTTCTAAATAGCTCAAGAATCAGTCTTCTCTACAGTAGTAACATCAACTCTACCAAGTGATAGTGGTAAAACAGTAACAATTATTTTAGTTACTGTCAAGATAAAATGAATTGTATTTGCCTGTTTTATAAGGTGGTTTAAAGTTACTCTTTCTCCTCTCTGTTCCCTGTCCCCCACCACCCAAACCAGACACCCGACTGATTTGTCCCCGATGGCTGGCTGTGATTACTGTCCTAATTTGTTCTTTCCTCATCTGCTACAAACTGCCTATTTTCTGTCCTTCTGATAATGCAGGAGCTCTGAGGGACTTCTGAAGCTGTTTTTGTACCATGCAGAAGTGTATTAACTGGAATTCCTATGTTTGTGTCTATAAAACCCCTCGTCTTCTCAGTGTGAGATCACCTTCAGGAACGGCGTCATGTCGATGTGCAGCTTGCGCGTGTAAAATTCTTTTCTGTTTGAACATATCAGCCCTTTATTTATACAACTTTGAGGCTCTCCTGTCTTCTGAGCTGCTGCCTCCAAGGACTGCTGGGCTCCCTGTGAAGAGAAGCAGAAAGCCCAAACTTTCATATGAATGATAAACGGTGCAACAAGAGCTAGTCCAAATCCCCAAATATTTATAGAAAGCAATTTTTAAAATCACTGAAACGGTAATAGGCAACACCTATTTTTACTGTTGAAGACACAGAGGACTGTATAGAGAGAAAACAGCCCAAGACTTTTATTAATTAATACCTACAGAAGTGGAAAAAGGGAGCTTCCTAGGTCCCAGGTTTTTTTTTTTTGAGATGGAGTTTTGCTCTTGTTGCCCAGGCTAGAGTGCAATGGTGTGATCTCAGCTTACCGCAACCTCCGCCTCCTGGGTTCAAGCAATTCTCCTGTCTCAGCCTCCCAAGTAGCTGGGATTATAGGCATGTGCCACCATGCCTGGCTACTTTTTTTTTTTTTTTTTGTATTTTTAGTGGAGATGGGGTTTCACCATGTTGGTCAGGTTGGTATATAATTCCTGACCTCATGATCTACTTGCTTCGGCCTCCCAAAGTTCTGGGATTACAGGCGTGAGCCACCCCACCCGCCCGTCCCAGGGTTTTAATTATTTCATTTAACCCTCACAACAATCCTGTAAGACAGGTACTGTTACTCCCATGATACAAACGAGGAAACCAGGAGGCTCTGGGAAGTTATGCAACTTGCCCAAGGCCATTAGCTGATATATGCAGAGCTAAAATCACCATCTGCTGAAGACTCCTTTTTAATGAGACCTTTTTGATACTTCTGTAGTTTCCATGAATGGTTATCAAATCTGCTTTGCAGCAAATATGGTTATAGCAAAATTCCAGTTTATTTCCAATATGACAAAATTGAATTTGATGTGTTAGGAAGACTGATTGGAACAAATGTAGCAGAGAGAGAAGGAAGAATGGGCTAACAGAGGAGTTTGGGAAGCCCCGGGTGCTCTCTGAACTTCTGGGCCATGCAAAGGGTGTCGCGTTTCAGGACACCACAGGGTTGGAGCTGAAGCTGCCCTCCAACCCATGCCCACACTGCAACCTGGGTGCTCCCTCCAAGATGCACACTGGACCATATCACTTCTCTGCTTGAAACCTTCAAAAGCCATTGCCCTCAGGCTTTTGAAGGTTTCTGCCTGGTCCTGGATGATCTCTCCTGCCTCATTCAGTCATTCAACAAATATTTATTGGGTGCCTTTTCTATGCCAGGCAGAGCAGTTAGGGCAGTGCCCAAAGGGACGAAAGTCTCCACCCTCATGAAGAGTACACATCCATTCCACTGAAAGGGAAGAGAGAATCAACAAGGAACTGGAACATAAGTACCTGTGAAGGTGGTTTGTGTTAGGGAGAAAAAGAAAACACAAAGTGGGCTAAGGGAATAGCTGGGGATGGAAGTGGAGGCTGCAATTTTAAGCAGGGAGTCAAGGAAGGTCCCATGAAAAAGCAATGACTAAGCAAAGCTCTGAAGATGGTGAGGGAGGGTTCTAGGGCCTATCTGCATGAAGTGTTTACTTCACGATGCTAATAGCAGGTGCAGGGAGCCACATGGACACCAGCCCTTGAGCTCCTGGAGCAAGGCCTTTGCACATATCCTTCCCTCTCCCCTTTTGACTCTTCGTCATCCTTCAGGTCTGGCTTCCCTGTGCCTGTGACCTCGTAGAGCATGAGCACCTTCCACCATTGCCACAATAATTGCTCAGGCTCGTGCAGCCATCTCTCCTCCCCCTCTAGACTGGAAGCCCCCTGAAGGCAGGAACCATGGCTGTTCCATTCCCATTGTCCCAGCAGTTTCTGACTCAGGGTCTGGAAATGAACACACTTGATACATATTTGCTGAACAAAAGAGTAAGTAACAGGTTATGGCCCACTTCAATGCAAAGTCAGTGCTTGGGTGGTTTTTCATTTATCCATTAAACTGATATTTATCAAGTGCATACTATATGTCAGCACACATAAGCAACATTATGCTTTTAGGTAGTGACTAGTCTGTGAAGACAATGCAATGGTGCTAGGAGGGAGGGCAATGAGAAGGGGGTGGCCACTTGCTTTGGGTGATCAGGGGAGGCCTCTCTGAGGAGGTGACATTTGAGCAGAGCCCTGGATGACAAGCTGGAGCCGGCCCTGGATGGATCTCTATCTTTAGCAATCAGGGTAGCTGATATCTCTGTGGTCTGATTATTTATTTATTTATCTATTTATTATTATTTTTTTTGAGACAGATTCTTGCCTTGTCGCCAAGGCTGGAGTGCAGTGGCGGGATCTCGGCTCACTGCACTTCTGCCTTCTGGGTTCAAGTGATTCTCCTGCCTCAGTCTCCTGAGTAGCTTGGGATTATAGGTGTGTGCCACCACACCTGGCTAATGTTTGTATTTTTAGTAGAGTTGGAGTTTTGCCATGTTGGCCAGGGTGGTCTTGAACTCCTGACCTCAGGTGATCCACTTGCCTTTGCCTCTCAAAGTGCTGGGATTTATAGGCGTGTGAGCCACTGTGCTTGGCCTGTGGTCTGATTACTTAGAGGTAAGCAGGGGATCTTTGAAAAGGAAAGTGGAATTCCCGATAGGCCTGTCTGTCCTAGCCTTCTGGGCTCCATCTTTGGCACTGTGAGGCACCCCTCTGTTTTCTGAGTGGTACAGCAATCACAACCGATACGTGCAGCTTTTGGGTATGCTGAGAGCAAAGGCAAGAATAAATAGTGATCAGGAGTCAAGGTCTCTAAAGGTAAAGGAGGAAGAAGAAAACACAAGGTTAAATGGAAGGGAAGGAAAGTAGGAGAACTGAAGAAAGCAGAGATGCCTGAAGGTTTTTTATTTCTTTTCTGTGAACACTTTGGTGGAGATGATTAAAAAACTAATGGAATGGCCGGATGTGGTGGCTTATGCCTGTAATCCCAGCACTCTGAGAGGCGGAGGTGGGTGGATCGCTCGAGGCCAGCAGTTTAAGACCAGCCTGGTCAACACAGCAAAACCCATTTCTACTAAAAATACAAAAATTAGCCAGGCATGGTGGTGCACACCTGTGGTCACCGCTACTTGGGAGTATGAGGCATGAGAATTGCTTGAACCTGGGAGATGGAGGTTGCAGTGAGCCGAGATCGTGTCACTGTACTCCAGCCTGGGCACAGAGTGAGACCATCTTAAAAACAAGAAAAAAAAAAAAAAAAAAACCCAAAAAAATAAAAAAACTGATGGAACGGTGAAATGTTTTAGCAGAAAAACAGAACCCGTCCCTTCACCTATATTGTGCTGTGAATACTTTAATATTTTTATGTTCTGCTAAAAACACCTGGAAGCCTTTCTCTTCAGTAAATGAAGCAATAAAGATTAACGAGTTAATTTGGTAAAGCTGGTTTGAATTGCACAGAAGGCATTGCATAAGTACTTGGCATTTAAAAAGTTATCTGACATTTAAAAGGAGATGACTGTTAATGAATTCAAGAGCTAATCTTACACTCTGACAGAGTGAGCCATGGAAAATCCAGGATTATTATCTTGCTGTAAACACAATGTGACTCAGTTGAGCTATCAAAAAAAAAAAAAAAGCTATTGCTTGTGTACAAATATCTAGACTCACACACATATATAATATAGCAAAACTTAAAGAGAACATCCATGAAAATTACAGACACGTCTATTTCCTTCCTTACTCTTGCATTATAATATCTGAGCTACAGATCCAAGGAGAAACCCTTCTCCCCAGTGATTTTTCCTCCTCCTTTCAGCTGGTGTATTTTAAAGGGTCACTACCCTTTAAAATGGGTCGGCTCTCCAAACAGACCTTGGAACGTCTAACATTAAGAAGGAGAGGAAATTCTAAACCCAAGTGGCTGCGTCTCCAGCCCTGGGTCCCACAGAGCCACCAGAGATAAGGATCTGTCCTGTGGGTGTCCCTCAGGCCCTCCTCATTACCTCTCCCACTTCTTTCTAATTGGGGTTCCCCATCTTTGTAGCTGCGGCTTAATGGCTCCAAGAAGAGCGATTGTCCCTCATTAAGGAGGCTGCAACACTCTCGCTGTCTAACTGCCTCCCACGCAGCTCACGACTTCATTCTGGCAGAGAGCAAGCTGCCAGGAGGCTCCGGGAACCTGTGGGCAAGCTGAGCTGGAGGAAGAAACAGAAGGGAAGAGGGCCTTTGTAACCAAGATCTGAAATATGCTTGGGAACACACCCCGCCATTATCTTCATGCTTGAATAGTGGGTGGGGGGACTGAAACCCTTAGGTGGTCTCTCAAGTGGCCACATCAAACCTCTGTGCACACAGGGCCTTTGTCCCCTCCTGTGAGTAAACACAAAGAAGAGTCAGTCCCTTCTCTGACCCCCAGGTTCCCCTTGTTGGTTAAGAGTCTGACTCCTCTTGGTGGCTCTGAGTCCTGGGGGCACAGAGAGAGCTGAGAGATTTAGTTCCTGGGGGTAGGGGAGAAGGAGGCTGGGACCCTGAGCTTCCCTGTCCTCCCTCCCCCTGCTAGGGTAGGGGAACCAAATCCTGGAAGGGGCCCTTCCTGCAGGAGGGAGGGAGCTGGCAACTTTCCTCGTGGTTGGCCTTCCGGCCCTGTTGCTCCTTGCCCACGGCAGCCTAAGGACCTAAAAGTGGGCAGCGGGGATCGGGCCACTGGTGGGGTTGAGTGTGCCTGGGACTGCCTGGGCTCCCTGAGATGGGGCTGCCTAGAGAGGAGATCCCAGTGGGCCGGGCACTGTACACACTGCTAATCCCAGGCTGACTTGGAGGGATTAGCATCTGTGTGGCAAGGCCAACCTCCCCGGCTACCCCCAAGGTCCTCACTCAGGTTCTGTCTATGTCTAGGTTTCCCTGGCTGGAAGGTAGGAGGCCTCCAGTGTGCAGGGGGTCAGACGGATGCCCAAGATCTTAGCTCAGCAACCCTGCCTGCCCACAGACCTCTTTCTGAGGAGCAGCAGAACCCCCAAGCCACAGCGGGCTTCCACCCACACAAATGTGCCCAGCAGTCCAGCGCCTGTCACCTGGGTTCATCCTGCTTGTCTTGGCCACCTGAGGTCCAGGTCCACTTTTTACATT